TTCAGAGTATCTTCTGACATCCATTTTGGTCTTTTCTTCCTCTTCTGTCTTTGCAATGACGGTTTGCACTCTTCCTGGATGATACCCTTGATATCCTCCCACAACTCATCTGGCCTTCGCTCATGAAATTAAAATAATAGAAGTATAACATTTTAAACTAGCCTCTTGCTGTTGTTGTTTTGTGTCATCAACTCACCTGCAACTCACAGCGACCCTACGTACTACAGCTCTGAAGATTGCCCTGTCCTGAGCGAGTCTCACTGACTCCGACACACCTACCCCCATTGCCCTAGTTACTGTATGAGTCCCTCTAATCTGGGGTCTTCCTCTCCTGTGCTGTCCCTCGACCATTCTGAGCATGATGTCCTTCTCTAAGGATCAGTCCCTCCTGGTCCTCCTGGAGCTTCAAAATGCTAACCTCAAAAGAGAAACTTGGTTTCACCCTCTCCAAGACAGACTTATTTGTTTTCTTGGTGCCACATGGTATGTTCAAGACTCTCGCCAGCACCACAACTCAAAGGCATCGATTCTTTTTCTGTAATCCTTAGTCATTGTCCAGCACTCTGATGCATAGCAAGTAATTGCAATGATCACAGCCTGGATCACGTGCACCTTAGTCTCTAGACTGACATTGTTGCTTCTCAGTACTCTGGAGAGGTCCTTGACAGAAGATGTAACTGATGAAAATTGTCTTTTGATTTCCTGACTGCTGGTGCCAAATATTTTTAAGCGTATTACATAAAATAAAATGGGATTTTACCACAAAAAAATTACAATTCAACTAGCTTTTAATTTATGCTACTGAAAATAGTTTGCAAATTATTTAACCATTCTAGACTAGACATTTAGAGCAAATTGTATACTTAAATATCTATAAAAGGATGAGCCTTTCACATACTTTAAGGAATCATTATATCTGTTTTAAAATGCTAATGTTATGACAGTTTTAAAATGTTGTCGTTGTTGTTATGTGCCGTCGAGTCATTTGCGACTCATAGCGACCCTATGTACAACAGCCCTAAAGCCTGCTACATCCTGTGCCAATCGCATTGCCTCTGACACACCCATACCGGTTACCCCAGCCACTGAATCAATCCACCTCATAGAGGGTCTTCCCCTCCTGCGCTGTCCCTCTACTCTACCCAGCATGATGTCCCTCTCCAA